AAAAAGGCACTTGGTTATCTTGTGGTATGTATTGTGTCTATCTAATATAGTAACAGTATGATGACTAAAGTCTCAGTACTAACTAGTATGATTGGGGGGTGGTGGTCACGACTTGTATAATTATTACTGCCTCTCCCCTACGATAGCATTATAAAAATATGAACTGTTGAGTCGACTGTGACCTGGTAGTAATTTATTTGGAATGTCAATTGCCATTGCTTTTACTTTACAAATTCGGTAACCACATTAGTCCTTCAACAATGGCAAATCATATGAAAGTAGGAGATCCAACAATCTTGCAAACTAATTTCAAAACACACAAATTGCTGGGATTTAGAAAACAAATAAGTAAAAAGCAAAAGGAAGGTTTTAATCGTATTTTACTCATCTACTATTAAAAGAGCGTGACACTTGAAATGATCACTTGAATAGAGACAAGCGCAAACTATACTGGGGTAACATGATTTAGCTCCCAAAGGTCAAACCTAGTCGTAGATATCATTGATTGTTCAATGGGATAAAACATGACCAGCTCTCACTAATGTTTCTGAATCTGTGTATTAAGTTCAAAATAAAATATTATCGAGGTCTTTTCTTTTAACTTGATTCCCCATCAAGCCATAATTGTGACGCTCAAATCAAGATCTAACTGAACTAACAGTTAACATTGGTATAGCTAAGTAAGTTACATTAAGTCATCTAATAAAATGTAGATCAGTTCATTGTATTTCAATAAGTGTAATCGACACAAAAAAGAAAACAACAGTAACAAACGCAATAAACCACATATGTCACTATTATATGCCGTTTTTTTTTTTTTTTTTTTTTATAATTAACCTGTTTTATTTTCCATTACAAAATACATGCACAAGTCCCACGAAAAAAAATAAAATAAAATAACATAAGAGTTATTTAAGTATAGTAATACAATATTAAATTTAAAACATAGTTGAACTCTGGTGACCTTGCCCTTTGTTATATAATATAATTTCCTTTATCATAGTTTGTTTCAATCTATATATGCATTGTCATAATTAATTTTAAATACAAACAAGTTTTGGGGTTGAACCAACAGTGGGGAATCAGTCTACCGAATGTCCTTAAAAGATGTAAATATCTTACAAAAACATTGGTGCCTTATTTGTTTAATTATTTTAAGGGACATAATTTCCAGCTTTCTTCAAAGTAATTCAGATATTTTAGTATAAAAACAAATGTCTCATTGAAAAAAAAAGTGCTGCATTTAGATGTGAATAGATTCATAAAAGATTTTATTGGTAGGTTTGCAAATGTGTATCAGACTGTGCAATCTCTCCATGAGTTGGTTTTGAAACCCAGTATGGGATTCTGAGATACATTACCAAGGATATTATTACAAGATAAATGATTTGCTTCATTGAACACATACAACAATGCATATTTCCACTGAGATCAGTGACCTTTGATGTGTATCACCAGTGATCAATCAAGTAGAAGCAGTCAAAATATTTTATCAGATTTTCTCAATGTTTGCATGATATTTTCATACAGGACATCTGTTGTTCAAACTCAGGGAAGACTTTATACTGATGAATAAGGTGACCAAGTTTGATAAAGTTTGGAATAGAATTAGTAAAGTTATTATGCACACAATAACAATTATTAACGACGACGACAACGACGACGACGACGACGACAACGCCGGACAAAATTTTTCCCTTAATATACCTTTCCCTTCCATCTTTGATGGTACGGGCAAGGT